TTCTTCCTCCCCCAATTTTCCCTCTTAAATTATTTATTCCTTACATTTTAATTTTGTTGTAACTTAAATAATAAGTATTCTAAAAATCTTCACGGTTTTCAAGGAGAATAAATGTCATATTTCAATGAATATAAAGGTCAAACAAATCAAGCTCTACATCAAATTCTTCCAAATCAACGTTCATATATTATTTAAACCACCATATAATAATTTGTTGTATATACTTAAACAATTAATTAGGATAATAATAAGACCCCGTTGTATATAAATACAAATATTTAAAAACCAATAATTAATATTCTGTTCTGTGTTATAAAATTAAGTTTACAAATATCCATTAGATTGATTGCTTTGTTATTAATTAGCCATTTTTTTAAATTCTTTTTAATGCATACAAAAGAAGTGAAAACCATCTTAAATAAATTTAAAAAAAAAAACATAAAAATAGAACCATTAATAGGTACATATTTTCATAGAATGGATAGATCCAATTACAATTTGTACTAATTAATGCATTTTGTGAGAATTGAATTGAAAATAGACAATAAGAATAAGATAACAATGGAAGACAAAATTATTTGAACGAGATTTGAATTTGTAATAAGTATTGAATTCAAATTCAAAGTTGTATAATCGTCGAGTGGATTTGAATGTGCATGTGAATGATAACGAGAAATTCAATCTAATGGGTTAAAGATACGAAGTGTTCCCATCCCATTATGTTCATTGTTTTTTCATTTGTTGGTGTCAGATAAGAGTAAGAAAGAGGCGGCCGAAATAAGTCTCTCACGTGTATGTGCTTCTGCTCCCTGCTGCAAGAAAACCACTCCACCAAGCCCAAGAACCCCAACTTCAACTCTCTCTCTCTCTCTCTCTCTCTCTCTCTCTCTCTCTCTCTATATATATATATATATATATATATTATATTATATTGGTATTATATTGTATTGTAGTAGTGTGTGTGTGTGTGTATATAAACACATCCACTCAAAACCACCGCCCTCTTCCACCATTAACTGAGATCGCAGCCAAATCAAACCCCAACCCTCTTCCCCCTTCCTTTCCCCCCTCACTGATCCATTTCTCTGAACGAGGCCCCGACGCCTTCACTTTCTTTTTTAGTCTAGTTTTATGGACGACCACTCACCTTCCTCCTCTTTCCCTCACCCTCCCCGAGACCACCCTTCCTCTTCCTCTTCCTCTCCATCTCCCTCTCCTGACCCTAATTCCCCATTATTACCTCCCCCAAACCCTCCCCCTCCTCCTCCTCCTTCCACCTCCGCCAACACTACCCCTTCTTCTCCCACACCCACCAATGGCGCCCGTAAAAGAAAAGGCAAGGGCGGCCCCGACAACAACAAGTTCCGCTACCGCGGCGTCCGCCAACGCAGCTGGGGCAAATGGGTCGCCGAGATCCGCGAGCCACGTAAACGCACCCGCAAGTGGCTCGGCACTTTCTCCACCGCTGAAGACGCCGCCCGTGCCTATGACCGAGCCGCTATCATCCTCTACGGCTCCCGAGCTCAGCTTAACCTCCAAGCCTCCTCCTCCTCCTCCCATTCCTCCTCCTCTTCCCAATCCTCCTCTCGCTCCAACAACCTCCAGACTCTCCGCCCTCTCCTTCCCCGCCCTGCCGCCGCCGCGGCGTTCTCCTTCTCCTCCATGGCTTCCTCTCTCCCTATTATGACATCTCATCACTCCTCCTCCTCCTCCAACTCTTCTAATTTTCTCCCTTATGGGGTTTATCCATCTCCTGGATTCACCCTAATGTGTCCCAATCTAGTGCATCAATACCCACCCCAACTTACCCAACACCCCCACGCCTTTTCCGCTCCCTCAAATGAAATTCCATCCACTTCCACTGTTACTACCACTATTGCCACTCCATCCCAACCTTCCACAACCTCGTACCACCAAAACCCTAATCCCCTACTTGTTGCTTCCCCTCAAATTAACCCCACGCCAGTTGCACCACCTCCGCTCGTTTCAGATCTGGTTGTTGGGCCCATTGGGCCTGGATCTCCGGCGGTGGGCTGGCCGTTGGAGAATGATGAAGATTATCTTCCTTCTCTTTGGGACTACGGTGATCCTTTCTTCTTTGACTTGTGAGATCACTATTGTGGTTTTTGCGACAATGGGTCTCCTTCAAACTCAACGGAAAACAACATCTTGTCGATTTGAGCTTGAATCTCGGCTTGCATGTAACCAGCACCGCCTTGAGACGGCGGCGATGGCGATGGCGATGGTCTACTACTGGTTCGTAATATGATAAATTCAGATTTTTATTATATACATATCTATATATATATATATATTTGGTGTGTGTGAGCTCTTTTTAGAGGTTGTGGTAATTGGATCGATCATCTGGATTCGATTTTTTTTCACACAATTGATCAATCGAATTGATGTTTTTGCATGATATGGATTGAATTTTGGTGCTTAGAGTCAAAGAAATAGAGGCGTATTGATGAGGTTGCTTGCTTCATTGTTCAAACTCGTCTTCTCCATTTGTTGGAAGTATCAACAATTGTCTCTCACAATAAAAACTTAATTTTTTTTTTTTTGTTTTGATCGTTTTCCATAAGTTTGATTTGTAATGTTAATTACTGTTCTTACTTATCATTATGATATGATTAAACCAAGATTTTACAGTTGAGATTGTTGCTTTGTTATGTTTTTCAAATTTAAGATTGTTTTAATTTATTGGGAGTTAATTAATTTTGATAAATTAGAGTGTAATATCTGGAACCTGAGGTAAAGCTCAGTTTATGAATTAGGGTTTTGAGTTGTCAATGCATGGCTGCAAAAAGTCAAAGAAGGTATAGGGAACTTCTGCCTTCTTGTTAATCCAACATGCAAACCTTTCATCAATCTCCTAAGGATTCATTTGAAAACAACTACTTTTCTTTTTTTTTTTTTTTTTTTTTTTTTTTTTTTTTTTT